TTTTTTTAGAATGTGCCAAATATGTTGTGTAACCCAGTATCTTTGGTTTGTGGCTACTCTTTATGAACATTTATCTTAACGCATTGATTCAGTGGGGTTTTTTTCCACTTTCACTGCACATCCTGGACACCATACCAGGCAGACACAATATAGTTGCTTCCCCACAGATACAAGCAGGCTCCAGACCTGTGCATTTCCTATTTAGAAACTTGTGAAAGCATTGAATAATCTGATTTACACCCTTGACAGTTTGGTATTTTAAAAAGCTTTATTCCAAGCATTTTGAACAACCTGTATCTCTGCAATGTCTCAGCTTATCCTGTACTTCACCACAAACATTTTTCATTTTTCGAGTGCGCTCAGATATTCCTACCCAGCAGGCATCTCCTTGAGTTGTAGGTGAGTCGATCTGTTCCCTGGGCTCCACTGGCTGCTCCTCAGAAACCAGGCTCACAAGCAGACACCTAAAGGTAGGAGCCTTAATCTCAGACTGAATCTCACTTGCATTGCCATGTAGTAAAGTTCAGTGAGTTCAGACGTGTCCCTCCTGTAACCCAACAGTTACTGCAAAGAGTGAGGTGACTCCTAGTGCTCGAGTGTCGAGAGAACGGGGATCCGTACTTGTGAGGTGGTGATGTTTTCAGCACAACAGGAGCCTCCCCTTGGCTACGTTGGCTTTCTTTGAGTGAAGTGCAAGCCCCGCGAAATAGCTTACTTGAAAGAGAGATTAGTTATGCTCAGTGACTAGTTCAGCTTTTTGTTTAGCCACAGAATTAAAATATGGCTTATGCTGAACAGCTTTTCAGTTACAGAAAGGCCTCTCCTTCCCACCGCTCCCCAAAGGCTATTTACGTTTTCTGCTGATGTCAATGTAGGGCTTGTCTCTAGGCTTCCCTTTGCGCGTGCCCATAATGCATACCACCATGGGTAGGATACGTGGCAGGACACCACGGAAAAAAGAAACTTCGCCTCTTCAAGTCACTGTTTAGCCTTTTACCATAAATGCCTGTGTTGGGTGAGAGGGAGTTAAAAAGAAATATGAAACATGCTAATTAGGGTACAGGCCACAGGCAGCCTGTGCAAGCCAGAAGCAACAGCCTGGAGCAAAACGTATTTAGTGAAGTGTCCCAAATCCCCCTGATTTCTATAGGATTAGCATTAAGACCAGTGAGAGGCTTTTATATGGAGAAAGCTAGGTTCTCCAGCAAATGAGGCATCTGGATTTGATAATTTTGTTACTGGCAAAATCTCTCAGAAATAAGCAACATGTTGTAAAACAGAGAGCTGATCAGCCAGCACGGCCAGTGCTTCCAATCTTACTGAAACAACTGGAGTCAGGGTTCACTGCTCCAGAGAGGACAAAACTTACAGGAATTGTCCTTAAATTCCCAGCATTTTGAAAAACCTTTTCTTTACTGTGCTTCTGTCACGCAAGACAACTATAGGACACGAGTTATGCTACAAGATGTAGAAAAATGGCTGTGTGTCCCCACAGCTATAATCCAAGCAAAGCCTCGGTTGAGCTGGAGTTACATGTATTTAACTGGTACACAACTTGCAGTTTCAACAGGAAAAAGAACCTCACAAGTGTTCACTGGAAATTCACAGTTAAAGAAATAGGAGCATCACCCAAGTTGCACATAAGCGTGTGGTAATAAAAGCCATTTTAACAGAACCAAAGGCCGTGTGCTGGAACAGAGAAAGATCAAACCATCAAATGCCTAAAAAGCACACGAGTGGGATGGGGTGTACGGCTAGCCTGTATCCGCTGAAGTGATACAAGCAGCTGCTTACCTCAGCACACTGCTGGTTTGAACCCTCTCTGAGCAACCTCCGTGGAGAGTGAAGCAACTGGATTACAGCACTTTATAGCCGGGCTGAGCCTGAGCTGCAGGGAATGTAGGTTACTTAACTTTTGGTCTGGTTTTTGAGAGGTTTGCAGCCGTGGCTGTAGCTAGGTTATATAACAAGGCGATCTTTCCACAGGTTCAGACCTGTGTGTTTTTGGGAAATGAGGGTAGGAGACTTGTTCTGCAGCATTTGTTCTTGTTTGGCTGCTTTCTGAGAGTGAAGTTATTAAACACTCCGCTTCTCTGGGCTAAAAGGAATTTGCCAGAATAAGGTCAAGGCAGAAGCTAATGGACCGGAACATTACACTGTAGTGACAGGTGAGGAACAGAGAATCTAATGGTATCAGTGTCTTAAGCCACTGATGTTTTGCAGCTGGATGTTTCTCTGAAAAACTTTCCCTTGGATTTTGAGTCCACGGTAGAAGTAAGGATGTTTGTCTGTAATATTACACTTCAGAGCTCGTGTTCTGCAAACTACCCCAAGCAGTATGTTGTTTTAGGACACGACACGTTAACAACATGCCAACAGCTGTTCCCGGATGTGGCCCATCGAAGATCTCCACTGAGCCATGGAAGACTGGGATTTGACATGGTGCTGGATCTTTTCCTCAGTTCTAGCGATTAAAATGCAGCAAGAGGCTAAAACCATATCAAATAATGCTCTGCTAGAAAAACAGTACTTGGGCAGTTGCTGCAGCTGGCAGGGGGCATTTCAGCAGTTACCCCAGTGAACAAAGCGGAGACCCATGTTATGAAAATAAACCCGAGACCCCAGCTCTCCTCGTGTACCGCAGCTGCAGGACATCCAGAGCAACATGCTTGCATCCAGCACATCTTCAGTGTACCATTATCGGCTCAAACACCAGACCCTTTAAGGAAGTTGGCTGGTTGTTCCACAGGTTTTTGATCTTTGCCTCAGGAAATTTCATCAGCAGAGAAGGAAGAAAAGAAATAAGAAATGTGTTTTGCTCAACTCATAGACTGATTTTGTTATCTTGGGCACATCATCTCCCACAAGTGGCATGGCTATAGCATGTACTCAGCCCTCAGATCCGCATGGGTGCCAGCACTGTTACACCTTCAGGGGAACCTGCTCAGGGTTCTCTCCTCCTCCTTCATCTCCTGCTCCAGCAAGGACTTAGCACACTGATAACCCAAGCCCCTTCATTCTCTAGTTGGAACATGGAAAACACCTGTCACTCTCAGATTTTTCCTGTTGAGCAAATTTAGCAAAAGATGTCAAGACCTTCTGCTCTCCCCCCACAGTATGTGAGAGCTGCAAAGGTCAAGTCAACAGATTGCCAACAGGCCAAGGAGAAAGCTCTCATTTAGTTTACATATGCTCCCATTAATGTTGTTTTTTTCTTCTGTATACAGCACATTTCTTCACAACCCTTCACATTATCTTGTCAATCTTCCACTCCCATCAGCATTTCCTATCTTTCCCAGTAGTTCTGGCACCTAATTCTCACTTTTCTGCCACAATCTTTTATCTCAATTATGTCATGGCCTTCACATTGCAATTCATTTATGTTGGTACAGGATTGATCCCAGGCTCTGCAAACAGGCATTTTGTGTCTAATAAAAAATGCAGGGTTTTACCCTGTCCCTTCTTGCTGAAGGGGTCTGTGGCAGCTGGTGGAGTCTGTGACTTACTCCAGTAGCTGGTTGAATGGACCATCTGATGTCACATAAAAACAGTTTTTAAACATTTCCTGAGGTAATGTCACTGTGAATTTATTGCATATAACACTTCAGTTTCATTTGTGACTTTGAAACAAAGAACAGAAGCAGCAAAATAATTTAGATTTGTCTTCAAATGAAGATTCTACATTGGGGCCACATGAAGTTATTCACTGTTCAGGTTCTTCTTTGGGGAGGAGTAATTCTCTCAAAAGGTAAATCCAGTTGTTTTAATTATATAATTCTCTGATGAAAATATATTGTGATGCTGCTGACACACACATTTCCTTCACAAAGCTTTAAGAGGAACCGCAGTCCTCTAACAAAGTACAATCTCCTCTGCTGCTTGCTAGGAGCAGGCAGCCTTCCTAGACAGCATTTGCTCTTCTAGATTAAACAGCCTTTCAACTCAGTTTTGAGAAGCAGCAGCTTTTCACAACCCCCCATTATTGAAAATGGCCCGTGATTCAAAAGAAACATGTCTAGGAGCTGTGCTTTTTAAATTAAGCTGCAATGGAGTGTTATTCCAGCAATACTGACAGCAAACATACTTATTAGGGACAAAGTAAATGGGAAAATAATCCTCAGGAAAATTCTCCAGCCCATTCGTCTCTGAAGAGTAAACCAAAAGCAACGTTTATTAGCAAGGCCTCCAAGAGGAAAGCTTAACTCACACCACAGCTGTGTTAAAGAACACAGAGCAACTATGAGCAAGCATTAAAGGATAACATGAAGAATTTGTCAGTGCTGCAGAAGAGGTGTTTTTGTTTTCTTGGGGACTTTAGCACCTGCACAATTTGCAACCTCAGGTCCACAGCCCCACAAAGGGAGTCCAAGGGATCAAAAAGATCTAAGAAAGCAGATTTATCCTCACTCAGCAGCCTCAAAACAGAGATTGAAACCACTGGGCAGAGAGCATCACAGACCTAAAAAGATGACAAGGTTGGTGTCTGTTTTCATCATAACCCTGCACCCTGGGCTGTGGAGGAAGAAGAGGAAGGGGAAGGTCTACCGTAATCTGCCATCCAGGATTTGGACTGTGTTTCAGAACAATCTGTACCCTGGTAGCTACAGGACACAAATGGGCACCTGTTTACCATCTGGCCCCTAATCCAGACAACTCACAGTTCGCTTGCACTCAACTATCAAAAAACTAAGAAGAAGTTCTCTGGCGGTAGACCCCCTCACTGAAAGCCTCATTGGGAGGAAGGTAAAGATTTAAGTAAACTGTGTATGAAACTCCCCAGATCTGGGCATGTGCATGACATACTCTAACAGGTTCAGGTTTGTTTAATTCATGCTTTTAGAAACAAATTTAAATCTGCTCTGCTGTACTGATCATTTTAGGACATACATCCTTGAGGACAAGCCTCAGGTAGTTGTGAAGAGGGAAGTTACATTTATATCACAAGCCCCAGTGATGAAAAGTAGTGTCTAACACAGCCAATGGTCTGAGCAAGCTGTTGAAAGCTTCACCAGCACCATTAACAGCTGCTGCAAGATCAGGGAAGATAATTCTTTTGGCATATTTATACTTCTTGCTCAGTTATAAACAGCACATGTTGATTGCCATGAATATTTTGAAAAGCTAGAAGATCGTGAAATATCACATTAAGTAAGTAATCCAGCTCCTTAATGAGACAACTCATTATCATGGAACTAAGGCTGTCTACAGCAGCACCGGGAGGATGGTGTGTAGATCGTGTCATCCACAGATCCACAGTGCTGCTCTTCCTGTAATACAATATGCACATATGAAATACATTTGGTATTTTATTTAGTAAACAAAGCAATTATCAGTGCACATTTTAAGCAGCAAAAAAGAAAAGAAGCACCTCAGACTTTCATACCGTAACAAAAGTTCTGTGGAAGCTGCATTTTATTTGAAAATCCACCCATTTTTGCTAACATACATTTTAATATTTTAAACAAAAATAGAATCTGCAGAGACAATGCAGCAAGTATGCTTAATTCATGTACAGAATTGCTTTCAGATCAGTGACTATCCTTCTGAAGGCCCCACTCCACCCAAAAGGTATGATGTATTTACACAAAGCACCGATCAACAGTGCAACTTTAATTCTTCGTTAACTAAATACCCACTAGACATATGTAAGGAAACTACTTCCCCTTTTTTACTTTTAAAAGGTACATGATCATAAACATGGCACGAGCCAAATGAAAAGGCTTCCCCCCCCAACACACACCACCTCA